GGCGCGTCCGAGGGCTAAACCCAGGCCGGGTAAACTCACCCCACCCCGACTCCGGGGTGAAGTGCCCGCGGCCAGTGCCCGCCCCGAAAGCCGGCGCCGTCGCTGCTAGGGCAGCACAGGGGCACCCACCGCGGGCCGGGACAGGGCGCCCCCAGGGCCACTTCTCAGTGCCTTGGAATAAACAGGCCTCTCCCGACTCAGAAAAGCCTCTTTATTCTTCTGCCGAGGTCCGACTATGAGGCTATTTAGGACATTTTCCTTTCTAGCTGCAGAGAAGCCGGGGGCCGGGGCCGGGGGCTGGGGGGCGCCGGGGGCCCGGGGCAGGGCTGGCCGGCCTGCGCTGCTGCTCCTGGACCTGTCCTGTGCCGCCCAGCAGTGGGGGGGCCTGACTTCTCAGTGTGGCCGGGCGAGGCGGCTCGGTGCGGGGGCCCGGGGCAGGGCTGCCCGGCCTGCGCTGCTGCTCCTGGACCTGTCCTGTGCCGCCCAGCAGTGGGGGGGCCTGACTTCTCAGTGTGGCCGGGCGACCCTGGTGTGCTGACCTGGCTTCCGGTGGCTAGGCGGTGAGAAATAGGGTTCTTCTGCCCAGCACCCCTCGGCCTTTTTTGCCTTTCTCCTCTTAAGTTTTGCTTTGAGCCAGAGGCCGGCGATGCAGGTCGGAGCGCTCAGCTGGGCCCGTGCAGAGCAGGCGGCGCAGAGGGCCCGGTGTCCTGCCCAGGCCACGGGGCCCAGGCCATGGGGCAGGCCCGCGGGGTGGCGTCAGGCCGGTGCCCAGCGTGGCGAGGCTCCCATCGGCTGCAGCAGCGTGAGGGAGAATGACAGCGTGCCTCAGCTGGGAGCCGCCTTCCTCCATCGTGGGTGTTAAAACACCTTGACGAGGAGGTGTTGACTGTGGGAGACCCCGCTTTCTTTCTGGGGTGCCTGCGGATTCTTGCAGGGGGAGCCTGCTGGCCTGTAGGGCGCTCAGGCCGGGGACCGGGCTTGGGAGTGACCGCTGCTGACAGGGCAGAGGCGGGGCCTTCCTCGGAGTCAGGGCGCCCTCTTCACCCCGCAGGCGGTGGCTCAGATCCTGCCTTTCAGAGACCAGAACCGCCAGGCCTTGGACGGGCTCTGGAACAGGCACCACGTGGAGCGGGTGGACATCGTCCTGAAGGAGACGCTGGATGCGGAAGGTGCGTGCCTGCCGCCGCGCCCCCGGCCTGGCGTCTGGGGGCCCAGAGGCTCGGCGTGGCTAAGCACCCCGGCCGGGCCCTGCGCTGG